TCCCAGGCTGGCTGGGGAATCCTGGGAGTTGAAATCCACACAGCTTCAACTAGTCAAGGTTGAGAAACACTGCTCCAAAATGTTTGAGTGTAATTGGTTTCTTTTAAAATGCATTCGATATCTCTATATTTTATTTCATACATTTAAATACCATTTTTCTGAGAAGGGGCCCCCAGGTATCACCTGACTCTTAAAAGGGTCCTTGGCACCAAAAAGGTTAAGAACCTCTGCTTTCATCGGTTATCTTGTTGCTGTTTCCCTGCAAAGCCATTTATATTTCTTCCCTGGTCATCTCTGTGAGAGATCTTTGGGGCAATTCAGTTTTCTGGGCTTGGCTGAACTTCTTTCAGAGATGCAGATTTCAAAGATCCATTTCTGTTTTGGAATGCTATCAGAGGACTATGCCCACTCTTTAAAACAAGCTAAGAGCATCAAGCAGGAAAAGGCCTACATGCCTGATGAAACTGACCAGAAAGGATTGTGAAATTGACAAGTAGAGCGGGCCAATAAAACCAGGTTGTGAAATGGACAAGAGTGAAGGCACTGAGGGAGTGGATGTCCCCTCTCTCTGAATTCCTAAGCTGCTGATGAGCAAGAAAGTGTTTATTGACATGAATATAGACCAAGTGTGTAGGAGCAAAGGTATGACTGTTCAAACCTGTGCACAATCACTGACTAAATTGGAACTGAAAATGGAAACAGCTGCTTCTCCAACCTCAGATGAGATCTTGACCGAAGTGGCTTTTAGAACGAAGCGGACAGTTTTTGGCTCTCTGATTTGCAAATTGCTCTGAGCTCCATTTCTTCATCCTCAATAGCCCCCACACAATGATGTTACCAAACTCCGGTAGAGAATCAACCAAGTTTGGAAGTATGGTTTTTTTTTAAGGGGGAGAAGGTAGGAGCAAAATGGGCAAATGAAGTTCCTATGCACATATTGTGTGTTGTAAAACATTCTCCTGAACCCCATCTCAAAAAATGAGTCCAGGCTGACAAATAAATAGAAATGGTCTCCAGAAGAAGGACATTACCTGTTCCTCAGAGGGAACGGCAGAGAGGGCAACATCTCAGGCCAGCTCTGTGTGAATGGCCTTCAAAAGAAGTGAATCAATCCATCATACGCCAGGCAGACATTTGGGCAAAGTAGCTTTATGGGCGAGTCCACCCTTCAGCTATTCTTGCAGCTCTGGTCTGACAATGCATATGAATACTTCTGAGCCAGAAAAATAATCTGGATTCCCCAATGCAGAGAGATCATAAATCCTGGACAGTTTGCTCCATTGTCATTGAAATGACATGAGATAATTCTATATTTAAGGCTGCAGGGGTGGGCAGTTTATCCTTGGACACATTCTTGTGAGGATAGTCATGCTTAATGCCATCCAGCAAGAGGCAGGCATCACTCCTGTGGGCTTCATTCTTCTTCAGACCTTCACCAACCTGCTCAAGTATTTCTCTACTCCACTGGCAACCTAAGCACAGGAAAAATATTTCTTCATCCTCAGATTCTTAAATCAAGGTATGTGATCTCCTTCCCTCTCGAATATGTAACTTGCTCTGAAAGGTTCTTTGAGATTCTTCAGTTTTACTTTGCATGAAATTGTGGTTGGATTCCCTCCCCCAGCCTTTTATTTTATTTTACAAGACACTTTGCTCTGTTTTTTTCCTCTACTTTAAGTTACTATGAAGAAGAATATTGCTCTGCATTATCCTTAAATTGTAAAAAAAAAAAAAAAAAGCCCCATTTTTTTATTTTAGGCCCCAAATAGCTTATCCCTTTTAGTT